AATTTTTTTTGAAACGGCGAATTTTGCAGCCTTGGGCACTAGCCCCTAGTGCCCCTAATGTAAGTTGAATTTAAGTCCAACAAATGATATTTAAATCTTTTGAGGGATGATGTGCTTTGTTTGAAAGATTTTTGAGAGTTAGGCTAGCTTAGGGAAGCTTTCAGAGAAGAAGGTTATATTTTCAGATAGACGTAAAAAATATATTCCACACGCTCATCAAATTATGCATTTTTGTTCGTGCGACATAAAAAGAAAAAATTTCGACAAAGAAATCTTTAATTTTTGTGTTCGATGAACAATTTGTTTTACTTATATAGTACTTAAACGATCTCATGCAGTCACTTTTGGAAAAACAATTGTTATGGTTTTTGTTTACTAACAAAATCAATAAATTTATAAAGAGTATCTCAGTTATTTTCCTCTTTATGTATATGTATATTAGGGCGGGTCAAAAAACTGATTATTTTTTTTGTTAGTTCTAACACAGAAAAATTGGTTGCTAAGTAGCTCTAGAGTATTTACCAAATATGAGCTCTTAATTGGATTATATTATCATTATAGTTTTCCATTTTTACTCTAGTCATTGAAATTGAACGCTTTACAAAAAAGAAATCATACTTTTTTCATTCATCTAACCATTTAAAAGATATATTCTCCATTTCATCCCTTAGTTTGGATTATATTAAGTAAAGTTCAAGGCAATTAAGGGTTGGAAGGTTTTTATATACACCAACGTTTCGCCTCTATTTGGGAGGCTTTTTTAAGTTAGGTTAAGTTGGTTAAAAAAATTTGAGAACATTTAGTGATATATTTAAAATAAAAACCTCAAAAATAGATCATAAATGATCTCTACGGACATTCTATTCGTTCGCAAGTAAAGCCTACTTACATCTATTAAAAAACTTAAAAAATAGTTAACTTTTTTTCTATCAATATCAATTCAAATTTATAAGAACAAAGGCTTTCACGGCCGGAATCCATAGTAAAATGAAGATTCGGGCTATAGGGCCGTGGTCTAAGTGAACTATTCTGTCCAGACGTTTCGTCAGCTACTGCGGCTGACATCCTCAGTGGTAGTGCTGCGTTGACAACGTGAACGTAGATTATATCTCGAAGTCTCGACAGCGATTCGGTGTAATCCAGTTCCTTTGGAAGAAACGTGTCGTAATTTCACCGTATTTTTTTGTAGTCTAAAACTATTTTCTTATCTGTATATTATTTTTTTTGTGTAAATGCGTATCTTATTTATGAGTCAACGATGAACTGATTACACAAGTGTCGATGGAATTTTTTGATTGGAATTTTCAAGTCCGAAAAAAAAAACGGCGATATCTATGTATGATAAAAATATCAAAGAAAACACCAATTACTTTCATACAACAATNCCATATTGATATATGTATAGGGTTTAGTGAACCATTGATTAATAATAAGATGTTTTTTTTATATGAGATTGAAGTAAAAATGGAAAAGTATGATGATGAGCATCATATTTAAAGGCTCTTATTCAGTAAGTACTTTCTAGAAGTGTCTAGCAACCAACTTTTCTGTGTCAAAAAAATAATCAATTTTTTTGACCCACCTTAATATATATCACAAATTTTCATCAAATAGTTTTCCTTCCAATACTTACGAAAAATATTTCGCTCGCTTGAAGAATTTGCTTCTTAAGCGGCGTGAATTGCGTTAAAAAAAAAAAGCGTTTTGCAGCTGACGAGACAAAGGGCTCGTGCCAACGTTCATCTGAATCGCGATCAATCGGTTCTTAAACCAGTGACGTTTTGATAAAGAATTATCGTCCCAGCTCCTTCCGAATTCCATTATTGCCTAAGATAATAAAGCCTATCAATCAAGTGATAAAAACAACCCGAATAAAGTTGGTTGATCTATCTTTTACGTGCTCTCGCGCATCGGTAAATTTATCTTATTTTTCCCACACGACCGATTTCTTTAATACACTACTGTCTCGTACGTCGCCGACGCGACGCCGAACCCTTCAAAATTGAATGTCTTTTGACGAAAATTAGAAAATGCCAACGCCTAACAGCTGTAACACCCGAAAATTGCGTTATATATGTTACTTGTAGGGCTGCGTATAGCGGTGAGCAAATTTAGGCTTGGTCTTGCAGTCTTGGCCTTGGTCTTGCGAAAATGCAAGACCAAGTCCAAGACCAAGATTGTCTTTATACTAGCAAGATCAAAACGAAGACTGAACGAACAAGACCAAGAATAAAAACAAGACCAAACGAATAAGACCAAAACTAAAATAAAGACCGAATATTCAAGACTAACACTAAACCGAAAGTTATTACTTCCGGTGGATTTATCAGTGAAGCGGCATTAATATATTCTTTTCTTTTTTGAGCAACATTTTTTTGTATTTGACATTTTCAGTTTGCTTTACTAATTAACCCTAAATATTAAAAAGAAAATTTACCACTGTTTTAAAAAAGGGGTCTACAAGAACGTCCTCTGAGCAACCCTGCTTTCACAGAGACGGTTTTCTAACGGCAACCGTGCCGTGCCGTGCCTTAATTTCATTTTGCTTTGCGTTCACACTGCACACGGTTTTTCACTTCGGGGTTTAATTTTGTTTTGATACGTGACCAAAATGGACGAAAGAAAAAAACGCATGTTGTTACTAATGATATGGCATAATCGCAGAAAAACACAAAAAACAAGAACATTTTGGATTCATCCACTACTTGAAAACAGACAATTGATGGGTGAATTTGTAACATTATTTCATGAGCTACGAGAGGGTAGCTCCAATTTTTTTAATTATTTTCGAATGTCGAGTAGAAATATTTATTAAGTGTTCTTTGTTCCTATGTCTGGATAACACATGGTTGGAATAAAGAGACGAACAAATTTTTTTCCGATATTTATTATTTCTTTGTACACCATTTTGTTCGCTAAAAGGTCAATTTATGCGTTGGAGGAAGGGTCAATTTACGCATTGGAGGAAGGGTGAGTTATCGAGTTTTCGTAACCCACAACTATGGACACTATTTTCTTTTAAAAGTCATGACAAGCTAGAACGTATAACAGAAAATATCAACATTTCATACAATTATTGTGTCGGTTAATAGAAAACAAACAATTCACCCTGCTAACATGCTTGTTTAAGGGTAATAGAGCTGTCTACTATTTAATAATATTTTTTATACAATTAAAGGTGTTAATTTTGTAGAGGTAGACCTAGGTTAGATTACTGCTCGCAAACAGTTAAGAATGTGGGCTGTTCTAGTTTTAGGGAAATGCGAAGTTTAACTCAGGATAAGAAAGAGTGGAGGTACGTGTCCAATCAGTCTTAGGACTGACGACCTTATGATGATGATGATGATACAATTAATGACATGTATTTTCATTACGTAAATGCATTATTGGTTACTTGTCCCAAAAAAAGTTGATTATACATTTAATGCATAACTTAATTTTATTAGTTTCTTCAATTTTTAGTAAAGTAGTAAAAAAAGTATGCTGATACTGAATTTCATTGACCATATATAGTCTAAGATGTCGGGGCATTTCTTAATATAACAGTGAAAAAAAAAATACTTTTTTAAACATTTTGAGTAATACCTCCTCACCAGTGCATTTTTCGCTGCATGCATCTTACATGTTCTTTTATTCTTCACTAGCGACCCGCCCCAGCTTCGCACGGGTGCAATGCTGATACTAAATATGTATATTTTTGTTTTGTTTAGATTATTATCGAGAAGGGGAAATCTTCAAAAGATACCCCCTGAACATACTAAATATACTACAGAATGTCTTTATATACAACATTCACAGTTTTTTTGTCATTAGACAATACAAACCGGCCTCCCGGCCGGTACCGCCGCAACCGCTATGTCCCTGCATTTTAAATCTGTAATATCTTCGAAAATATTCATTTAAATTACATGCTGTAAAGGGCCATATTGATCTATATTAAATGCACAATGTATTTAAGGTACTTAATTGGATAAGAATTAATGCTGTATTGCCTACAATCGCTTCGTAAATAAGTCATTATTTCTCATAAAAAGTAAAGGATAAAAATGGTTATTGTGGGTTATCCCTAAGAGATAGACATATACCATCGCGGACTTTTTTGTAGACCCTTTTAAGATGTACAATATTGTTGTACATTATTTTGATCTATCTCGTAGGGTTCAGCCAGCGTTTGCAATGTAAGCGCAAAAAATGTGTTTATTTACGACATCACATTAGAAACCTCTAAAATTATCAGTGTTTCCCTACTATATTATGCATCTATTTTACATATAAACCTTCCTCTTGAACCACTCTATCTTTTAAAAACAAAAACGCATCAAAATCCGTTGCGTAGTTTTAAAGATTAAAGCATACATAGGGACAGACAGCGGGAAAGTGACTTTGTTTTATACTATGTAGTGATATAATTGTGAATAACGCTTCTAGGAAGTGGTTTTGTTTATTAATAAATCGTGTTCACAATAAAAAAAAAATTTATGTTAAATATCTCGCGAACAAAACCACAAAAACATAAAAACAACGAATGAAAGTGTTCCAATGTTAGAAAAATCGGTTATTAACTTTATGAATAATAAGCGATTTGATTTTTAGCTTAAATTGCAAAATGCGCTATTTGTTTGTGAATATTCATAAAAAAAAAATTTATTTGATTTTAAATAATGTTTGAATTATTACTAAACAGAAGCACTTCCAATCAGCGCCATGGAAAATAAAACACATGTAAGATATAAATGGAGAAAAATACACTGGAAAGGCAAAAAGTAAAACAAAATCATTTTTTTTTTCACTATTGCTAAATTAACAAATATTGCCAAACCATCTCGGACGAAATTCAGAATCAGCGTATTTTTTTACTATTTTACCAAAAATAAAATTTCCTCGTAACGGAAATGTTCATTTTCGTTGGAAAAAAAGTTTATAATCTAACCTAACGTAACGTAAGCCTATGCTATGTTAACTATATGCAATTGTAATCACAGTTCTAAACTTTATTTCAGACTATCAAGAGGGCCACCGGTTTCGATACAATTTATTCATATCCAAAGAAATCTTCTCGACATTCCGAAACCTTCCTGCAGCATTCTCATCGTCAACAAAATGTGAAGCATTCGACGCATCGCCCCTTTTCTCTACAATGAACATGTTTGATGCAACCCCTTTAGGTAAAAAGGCCAAAACAATCCCGTCCCACGCCTTGAATAAAATTGAAAAACGATTTACCGCTCTTACTCTATTTGAGTTTTTCTCTTTCGGCTTGGAAAAAGAGGAAACACGGTGGCCATAACGGCCCTGGGCCGTCCCATTAACGGGATGACCGTTGCCTAACATTGCACTCTATGTCCTCAACGGCAAAGAGGCTCGTGCTGAATTGGCGAGGGGCCGGTCACGGGGGTAGCAGGAAACAGTCGGGAGACAGTAGTTCGGGAGGCAGCAGACTGGTGACTTACGGGGGTAATAGCGGACGGGGATCCGCGGATTGCGGGGGGGCTGGAGGACACGAGCTGGATGAAATTGCTATCGTATCGAGCAACGCGGATCCTTGTCACGTCAAATATGGATCCGGAGGAGCATTGCATCCCACCAGCATCAACGGACCAAGGCTTGTTCCAGGTAAGAAAAATTATTGTCTTGCAGTACGAAAGTGTAGAAATGCCAAGAACCTTTTTGTTTTGAAATTTTGACTTGTAACTCGAAATTTCTACTTGCAACTCACAATTATCGAGTTGTAACTCGAAATTTCAACTTGTAACTCAAAATGTTTATTGAATCGCAACTTAACCTAACTCACTTTGACAGTTTTAAGAAAGAACAAGACTACTACACCGTAACCTTATGATCCCAACCAATCAAATGAATTCACTAAGATCAATTAGGTGAAGATCATAGTTTTAGGGTAGATAAAGACAACACGAATGAAGTGTTGTAGTCGTGTACTTTCTTTTGTTTACACGGTTGAATCACATCTAATCTAACCCAATCGCAACATAACCTAAGGCAACTGAATTGCAGACAATAATCCTCACGCAAATTATGATTTGGCCTGAATGACCGTGGTCTAAATGAATTGTTAGGTCTGGCAACTACGGCTGTCATCTGTAGTGGTACCATGGATTCCGGCCGTTCTTTTACTGATGATAAGTCAATACAAACAAGTCAAAATTTCGATTTACACATCTAGGCCATCGTACATAAATCAACAGTTTTAAGATTTAAATACATATGCCCACAATTGATTTAAATGTATGTCTATATGTATCTTTTGTATTTTATTTCTAAGATTTTGTGTTCGTTTTGGGTCAGTAGAGAGCTGGCTTCAGATATCGGTAAAATGTTTCCGGGTATCGGATATGCATTCCAGCAATACCGCCCAGACATCAGATAAATGATACGGATAGTTTTCCGCCCAGACATCAGATAAATGATACGGATAGTTTTATTTGCAAGATGTATCTTAAATACCTGTATTCGAATACATTTTCCATTTTCTCTCTCGTAAACTTGCAACGTAGTGCCGAGTGGTAGCATCTTCTACTAGCTCATTTGCACGAAAGATTCGAACTATGAATTAAATATCTTGATTAGTTCAGAATCAGTTTTAGATAAAATTTGTATGCTTTTGTATGGGAAATCAATTGGTGACCTAGAATGTGAGCTTCACCTTGACATTCGAGGTTGTTTAAAGATCGAGTCATGTTTTACGTATATTTTCCACATTAGCAATGGAAAATTAGCGGGACATTTAATAATCGGAAATACTTTTAAAGCGGGTTTGACATGATCATAATTTTTCATATTCTGCATGAATTATGCAACTACAATTGTAAAATGTGTATAAAATATATGTAAATTCACTTTGTANCACCCCTCATATATGTAAATTCACTTTGTAAATATAAAACATAATATTTTAATAAAGGTATTTATTTACGATTAATTTAGAAATTCGAAAAAGATTGTTAAAGGTGTATGTTTGGAGCGCGGTACTGTACGGGTGCGAAACATGGACGGTGGGCGCGGCGAAAAATAAAAGGTTAGAAAGGTTCGAAACGTGGTGTTACCGGCGAATGAGGAGGTTACCGTGGATAGAGAGATTAGAAATGAAGAGGTATTAGAAAGAATAGGAGAATAGAGGACTCTTTCTCAGACATGAACGCCTAGTCAGAGACATATTAGAGGCAGAAACAGCTTAATATAAGCTTTCATAATAAACTTTTAAGATCTTCATTTATTGTACTATAACTTTTGACTTTTGTATTACGTACATAGCAATTATGTCATTTAAAAGAAGTTTTGTTCACTTTTGTAAAAATCATATCAGATTAGATAGATGCGAGTAAAACTTGACAATGTCGCTGTAACTTATTCAGTATTCATGAAGCAATTGCTTGTATGGTAATAAAAGAGATACATACCTTACAAACTGTTTTAATAGAGAAAGAGGCACAAATTTTATTAAGTATCAGCAGTATTCGTTACCTGCGACTAGCCGAGAAAGTAAGGATATCATTCTCTTCCTTGTAGTGTAGACATTACTGGTTGTTCCAGTGGACGTATACCAACTGCGGCATATCAATAAATTAATATCCCGACTAGAAAATAAGTTCAGAGAACCCCAATTATGATCAGATGCGGATCAAATTTTCCGTAATACGGGCATCTGATCATAAACTGATCATAGCAGAGTATCTTATCCCTTAATCCAGTCATCTGACCAATTTCTTATCACAATCTAATGCTACAAATTCTATTACGGTTTCGGTACAATCTTTAAATCAAGATTGTAACCGATGTTCTGAACTGGACCATAATACACAACTTTATTTTTTACCTGATTTATTCTGTATGCAATATTGTTCGTCAAACAAATAATCCTGATGCTTTAAACGGGTCCGGTACGGATCTTTTGGCTGGATCGGGAATGGATCTGTTGAATGGGTCCAGCATGGATCTTTGAAACGGATCCGTCATGGATTTTAGAAACGAATCCGACATGGATTTTTCAAATGGATCCTATGTTGATCATATATGACGTGACGATTTTCCATCATACCCGGATCAGAAAGCCTCATTTATTTCTGAATAATCTTCAAGCAAGGCAATTCTGATCCGCATCGGTTCCAATCCACTTACTAATTTCCAGTCGGAGGATATACCAACTGCGCCGATTAGATCGTTGGGATTTTATGATCACCTAATTAATCGGCTCGCGTGTCGGTTAATACAATTGTCGCAGTTCATAGTACCCCTTATCAATAAATTCGCTGCCCTTGGTACTGTTTTGAAAAGGATTGTCACAGTTGGTATATTCCCGTTCCAGTAATTAATAAATAATTAAGTAAAAGATTTACAATTTTAATTTTATAATCCAAAACCGGGAAAATTAAATGAAGCGACTGTATGTATGTCTGACATTGAGAAAGCCTTCGTTTCCTGTGATTCATAGCTGTAGTTTCCTTATATGGTGAATTAAACTATTGCGGTTTCTCCATCTCCTTCCTGACCCGTCTCTATGACGAGATGTGACTGTGTGTAATTCCGGGCGCGAGAGAGATTCAAGACAAAGCAACCAACTAAGGAAGGATGCGAGTTTAAAGGAATTACATTTCTAGTAGAATCTTGGTCGACAAAGTGAATTGAGTTGCCGGTTTCGTGAAAGGAGAGAAGCGGTTGTTACGTTAGATGGTCCTTTACTTTAACAACGCTGCTGTCTCGTTAGTAGCAAAGTGGAATGGACGAGATCGAGCTTTGGCTCTTGGTAACAATTCTTCATTGTCACAATTTTATTGCAACATTTACTATTGCCAAACGCGATCCATTCCAACCCGATATTCTTATTAGTGAAGCAAATTGTCCACAGGAATTGAAATCTTCATTTAATGGTGTTATAATCCTTATACGAGGGTGGATTGATAAGTTTCCGGCCTGACCAAGAAAAACAAGGTTTTTAAAAATTTTTTTTTTTTATTTCTCAACATAATCTCCTCCAAGGCTGATACATTTCTCATAGCGGTGTTCCAGTCTATTAATGCCATCTCTATAGACTGATTCGTCAAGCTCCTCAAAATAACCATTTACAGCTTCGATTACTTCTTCATTGTCCGCAAATCTCTTACCGCCAAGCCATTTTTTGAGATTAGGGAACAGAAAATAGTCACTCGGGGCTAGGTCTGGAGAGTAAGGAGGGTGCGGCATCAATTCAAACTTTAGATCGTTGATTTTAGCCGTCGCAACGATTGACGTGTGCGCTGGTGCGTTATCGTGATGAAACAAGATTTTTTTCTTCGCCAGATGAGGTCGTTTAATTTTCACCTCGTGGCTCAAACGTTGCAATAAGTCTGCGTAGTATTGACCAGTGATAGTATTACCCTTTGCAAGGTAATCAATGTATATAATACCTCTTGCATCCCAAAAAACAGTAGCCATAACCTTGTTCGCCGAAAAAATTGTTTTTGCCTTCTTTGGAGTTGGTTCCCCTGGTCCAATCCACTGTTTAGACTGTTCTTTGGTTTCAGGAGTGTAGTGGTGGACCCACGTTTCGTCAACGGTTACGAATCGACGCAAAAATTCGCTTGGATTACGCTTATACAATGACAAATTTGCGGTAGAAATGTTTTTTCGAATCAATTTTTGGTCGACTGTTAGCAAACGCGGCACCCATCTTGCACAGAGCTTTTCCATATGCAAATGTTGGTGCAAAATATGTTGCACACGTTCATATGACATCTTACAGGTCTCAGCTATCTCACGCACTTTCAATCTGCGGTCTCCCAGCACTATTTGATGAATTTTTTCGATCATATCTGGAGTTGTGACCTCAACGGGGCGTCCTGAGCGAGGCCCATCAGAGGTGCTCACACGACCCTTTTTAAACTCGGAAACCCACTGCTTAACGGTTGAATATGACGGGGAGGATGTCCCCAGTGTTGAGTCCATCTCTTTTTTAATTTCCTTCGGCGTTAACCCCTTCAAATAAAAGTATTTGATGACAGCACGATTTTCCTGCTTTTCCATTTTTACGAAAACCACAGAGGCGTCTTGTTCAGCGTGCTGTCAAACCTACACTAGCAAGGAGATCGGGCTGAAACTATAGCTACAAGCTATCCAAGGATGGTACTATAGAATGTCACCTCAAGGTAGGCCTAGTGGCGTCATCTCTTGGTTAGGCCGGAAACTTATCAATCCACCCTCGTATTACTGGCTTTGTTAAAGTGCCAAAGGCCTCGGTACAAAAAATAGAATTACGGTGCATAAATACAAAGTTTACGATATTTTTTTTACATATTTTTTAGATGGACGAATGGTGTACGTTGTACGCGCTTTTTTTAGCCATTTAACTGACATCATTGACAAATTCTTCTACTAATTGTGAGTTTATTAATGTTTGAAAAAGTCTATTTACGATTAGATTTTGATTTGTTGCATAAACTCAACTAACATTGCGGTATTAGAAAATACTACAAATGGCGCGGTAAACGCCATCTGTAGTACGATGCTACATTTTAGGATTGCGTATGCTCCAACAAGGTCAACTTGTGTGGATATCTACTTGCTGAAAACGATTCCCGGCGTAGCCAACCTCAACGTGATAGGCACGTTAGCTTAATCGAATA